ATGATTTTTTTTTTCAAATCAAGAAATTAGTTATTTTTGGAAAGTAAACTGAACATTTAAAGAATAATTTAACACTGTTTACTGTGACAACAGCGCATTTGAAACAGAACATTTTAGCGTTGTTTTAATTTCGTTTTTATGGACTTACTGCGAAATTAAAAACCACGCGGATATTTTCTACAGTAGACTAAAGAGACGTGTTTCAAGAGATTATAGACAAATTTCTTAAAATTTGTTAGAAACAAAACCTTTTTTTTTTTACATAAAAGCCATTCGTACAGTAACAGCAAGGGACTACCGCAATCGCGTCCATGGCTATGTATCAGTAACCGATAGTCGATCCGCCGGCCCCCAATTCACGATCATTACGTGCCAAAATTTCAACTTTGTCTGGCGCTTAATTGAGGTGTAAAATACAAAGTTTTTGTGGCACTGGCACCTAATTGAAGGTGGCGCTTAACTGAAGACAAATACGGTACTCTTATGTTCATTGGCTTGTTTATACAGTATATTACTATCAGTGTAGCTAGGCATTAGTGTAGTGGTTTATAGTAAGTGAAACATTGCATAGATTCTAAGATGCATCATCTTCGCCTGCCAAGGACCATTTATTTGGCCAAAGCCTCAACATTAACCTTTGGCAGATTTCACCCTGATTTACTGTAAGTTGCGCACCCTCAAACGATTATAAGATTTATAGTTGGGCTTATTTGCATTACCCAATCAGAACTCATGATAGAAACAACTCATTACTTGGTAAAATTAAAAAGGTGGAATACAGAAATCAACGTTTTGCTAGCTTTTTGTTCTGTGAACAAGCTTACTGAACAGAAAATGCTTAGTGCTGTATCTGAGGGAAATGATGTGTTTCGACAGTTTTGTCAGTTTACTACACGGTTTGCACAAATATTTAGACATTCCATCGTCTTCGTTCACTTGCCACGAACAATTTTCAATGATGGAATACGAAATTTTGAAAATGTGTCAACAAATATAAACCTTTTGTTTTTTCAATTTAACAGCAGTGAAATACAGCTTTTCCTAACACGATCACGCACGCGGCACGGGTTCAGGCCGGTTATGAATGACCGGCTTTAGCGAAAGCGTGCGATTCGAAGAATGAAGATACACTGAATATTGCTATCATTGTAGCTAGGCATTAGTTTAGTGGTTTATATTATTCAAAGTGGAACACTGCATAGAGTCTTAGATACATATTGCAAATATCCAAAAGTGTGTTGAATTTCATAATTAAAAATGGTAAATTGCATTAGTCCCATATTTGTTTTACTTACTTACTTTGTATGTGCCTCTCTTTTCAGGAAAATTATGACCCAAAGTTTTTAAAACTTGTTTACGAGACTCCCAGCATTACAGTAAATCAGCTGACACGTGAGAATGGCCGAGGATTACATACTGTTAGAATTCAGTACTCTGATAATAATTCTTTTAAAAGCATTGCCAAAGTGTTAGGAATTATGGTTGATTTCAAGGTGAGCATACATCATTTTAATTTATTGAGAATAATTATTTCCATTAAAAAACTTTCTGAACAATATGATTTTTCCCTTTTTTTTGGTTTATTTTTAGACCAAATGAGCATAATTTCCCATTGGCTGCAATCCTAAACTATAATTTTTAATAAACTTGACAAAATAAAGAAAAAAGAAATTGCAGGTTTATTCTGTGAACAGTGACAAAAGTATACTTTGGAATTGGAAAGGTTAAAGGTCAACTGGTGTTTTTAGGTTTATTGGAAAAGGTGATCTTTAACTTTTAAATGTGGTACATAGTGGCAAGGTTCCCCTATCAACTACTGTAAAATGACTATTTTTCAATTCGATATAATTTCGCTGATTTACCATTTCTGGCATATTCAGTGGGTTTTAAATTAACGGTTTTATCATTTAGATAATGTGTTCTATGCTAATTTTACATATTCATTGGGTTTTAATTTAGCACATTTTCCAGTCAGTGAAATAAGCAATGAATAAGCAATGAATAAGCATTGAATAATTAACCCTTTCACAGTATGAAGTGTTTTGTGACTGCCAACCTAGATTGTGCATGTCTGTGTGTCATTCACAGTATGCTTTCTGTGCACGAGTCTGCTTCAAAATCCACAGCACATATAGATTGTGAAACCATACATATGAAACCAAAAGGGCTTAGTCTTTTCCACGAAATGTGAAAAAAAAATTAAATTAAACCAAAATTTTGAACGACTTCAAACATCGCCACGTCACAGAAATATATTTGTCGAGAATATTTAGTTTCCACCTCTTTTCTGCCTACTTTGCAGCTTGATTCATTTGTGCTGACATGACGTGACAGCCATTTTGGAATTGTTGAACACTGATGGCGCTATTCATTTCATGTTTCACAGTGTGAATTTTATTAGGCCTATGAAAACAAATATGAGTTAGGGTTAGGGTTGGGTTTTGTTTCGTTTTGTTTCATGGAAAAGACTAAGCCAACCAACAGCAACTCTGTGATATTGTCCCATTTTACTTGTGTTCTTGGTATTTGGTGATCTTGAAATGTATGCAATATCGCATGGAGCACAACTTCAACATTTTATACACCTCACTTTTTCGCCCAAATTTTTCTGTACCTTTTTCTTATATTCTTCAATATTTCTGGAAATGAACCCAAATTTTAAAGCCAAAAGACAAAATTTGAGTCAATTTTCACTTTTTACTAAAACAAAATTGGTTATTTTTGTTCCAATCTTAACGAAACTGCTGACTATAAACAAGACTTTTTTGTGAATTTGTTATGAAAAACAGGAACTGGTGGTGAAAAAGTTAAAGACTAAATTGCATAATTAATTACTTTTTAATAACTCATCATCATTCACTCTGAAAATATAGATGGATTATGTTAAAGCATTAATTATTCACTGGGTTTCAATTTTGCTCTTTTCAATGATAAGAAAAATCAGCATAAACATGTAAAATAACAATAGGACTCGTTTCTCACCAAATTAAATTAAAACCCAGTAAAATGCTCAAACATATAAAAATAGTAAACAATAGTTTTAAAGTACTCCACACATTTTATCAGATTGGGGTTAAAATCTTTGAATATTAATTGCCTAATTTGCATAAATAACCAACTTTTCATTTGTTCTTCTGATATTTAAATAAAGGTTGGTGCGTAGGTTATCTGGACATGGGAATTCTTTCTAAACTTTCTTTAATTATCAGTTCACATATTTTCTAATAAAGCTAATATGTAATTGTCTTCTTTTTTTCAAGGCTGGAGTCCCAAGAACAGGCTATCTTGGTATTATTACTTTTATGTACAATAATATTAGAGTTTACCTGGCACCTGCACAGAGCTGGACAGGATATGATCCAACCTGGAGTTAACATTAAATTTATAATCAAAAATTTCTTTGCAATAAAAATTAATGATTATTTTTGTAAAAAATTGTAGTTAAAAAAATCTGTAAAAAATCAAACTTATTTTTAGATTACTGAATTTTGCAATAAAGTGCAGTTACAATTATCTATTTTTTTTTAATTAATAAGTAACATCAGTAATCAGTTGAATCAACCAATGCAGTTATGTTTATTGAAATGGACATTAGTGTGATGAACAACAAACAAACAAACAAACAGAAAGAAAGAAATATATTAATTATTGTCACCTTGGTATTTGTAATACTCATAACATGGATTGTAGATAATTTTTTGAGTTTGATTTTCAATCATTCAGTGACAGTTTTTTTTAGTTTAATTTTTATTTTTTTTTTGTTTAACTCTCACAATTATCAACTTCACATGACATGTAATTTATTTGTAATAAAAACAATCTTTATCAGTTACTGTAACTATAGCAACGTATGTTTTCAGCAGACTGATATATTGGGAACAGAGCTATGACACTCCCCTTATACACCATGACATGTCATCCATGTATTATATACCATGACACTCCCTGTATGTACCATGACACGCACTGTATGTACCATGACACACACTGTATATACCATGACACACACTGTATATACCATGACACACACTGTATATACCATGACACACCCTGTATATACCACGACACACCCTGTATATACCACGACACACCCTGTATATACCACGACACACCCTGTATATACCACGACACACACTGTATATACTACGACACTCCCTGTTTATACTACGACACTCCCTGTATATACCATGACACTCCCTGTATATACCATGACACACCCTGTATATACCACGACACACCCTGTATATACCACGACACTCCCTGTATATACCATAACACACACTGTATATACCATGACACACACTGTATGTACCATGACACACACTGTATGTACTATGACACTTCCTGTATATACTATGACACTCCCTGTATGTACCATAACACAACACTGTATGT